TGAAGAAGCCCTCTGGTGAATTAAATATGTTTCGAAAGTTTCATAAGAGCTTCGAGAATTACACATAGAAAGGGACACAATTGACCATGTAGCCGCTATGTGGCAGATGGAGGGTAATCAAGAACGGAGTTAATACATGTATTATAAAGCTTAACGCATGACAAGTGGAAATCGTATTTTTGAATAATTACATTTCTTCAGAGGTTATAAAACGGCTCAGAGCAAACTAGGCTATAACTTGACAACACGTGTAAAAAATACATGTATTCTTTGGTTTTAAATTTTAACGGTTCACTCCTTGCCATTTTTCCGTTGCTCTAGTAGCACGAGGTAGATGTTGTTTCGGCCTACTCAATAATGTGGTCAAAGAAAAAAAATCAAGTATTACAATGTAGTTCAATTCCCTTCCTCCACCACAGGATTGTGAGATCAAGCAAACCGCCCTACTCTAGGGCCAGGATATTCGGTGGATCAGACCGCACCATTGGTATACTAGGGGGCTAGTACTTCATTAATAAAGTTATTTTGTCAGTGGCTCTTCCGGAACCGCTATGGGGGGTAAAGGGTTAACGATTAAATGTTCTTGTGAGTTTGATCTTTCACAGTCATGAAGCTTTACTAGGACTTCATGTGAATCAACATCTATTGTCTCCTGCTCCTCATCAGAAACGAAAAAAATGGACAGTAAATAATCTAAGTACAGAGTAAAAACATAGATTTGAAGATAAAGACATTATATCTAATTTTGTTATGTATAGAAGTGAAATTAAACATCTGTCAAACGCTCATTCATGTGTAGTGAAGACCAAAATCGCTCATTAACACTATCAATTGTTGGCACATGCGAACAAAGTTACAAAGTTAAACGTTTTCACTAAATTTTGTTAGAAAATTTTAGCAATCGTCGACTATTAATAGAAATGCCACTGTCTACGATATGTGATAAAGCAGCAAATAACATCGCATCGATAATAAACGAAAGAGTATAACGATAAAAAATATCAAAGAATTAAAATATCATTGAAAAATTTCATGATTACGGCAATCCAATAGTGAGCGAAATAAAGAATGTACTTGATTTAATAAAGATCAGTTTAAAGTAGTTTTAAACTTCTTGATTAATAATACTCAATTTATTTTGCTGATTGATTCCAAGTCAACACTTGATTTCACGCTTGAGATTGCAATATTTTATCATGCACAACAGTTGTCGGTTTTGAGTATATCGTTGTCGTCGTAAATAGGAAAATAAATAGCCCCATGACAAATGTCACTATTGCTGCAGCAATTGCAATAATCATCAAAGCAGTTTTCATCATTAAGAATTTATCAGGAACAATTCTGGTTTTAAATTCATCTTGCTCGTTGGACATGGCGCTTGTTATCGTGCCTCTAAATTGATAGTACTATGCAAAAAAGAAGTCGAAAATTGTTATAGAATGATTAGAACTATCCGTACCGTCTGTTTTTGTCAGAAATCGTGAAGAAATCGCAGTTATCTGTAGACTAATCACCAGTATTGTTGATATCGCGATACAGAAAAACTTTTTACGGCAATGAAGTACGAACTCCGACGTACAAATCTTTCCAGTTGTCTAATCGATTTTTCGTACCGAAACGTACCTTTCTCGAGTAGTTTTTGACAATGATCCTAAATCTGGTATGCGTTTGTGTCATTTAGCCTTCTTTGGATGAAACTCCAGATAACAAGGTTCGTAAGACTCAGATGAACTTTTAGCAGAATATCAGCATGTCAAAATTATTCAAAAAGTTAAACGACTTATGCGTAGAACTTTTAATTGTTAACAGATAGAGTTTGACATAGTTACAAAAGCTATTCTCTGAACGAATAGATAAATCATATTTTAGCTTATTTCACTAATTTTTTGCTTCTATGAACGTGTCAAAATCAATCTGTTAACAAATAAAAGTTCTATGCATAAATAGTTCAACTTTCAGAACACTTTGACATGCTGATATTCTGCTAAAGAGTCATTTGGATCTTACGAAGCTTGTTATCTAAAATTTCATCCGAAAAGGCTAAATGGGACAAACGAATATCAGATTCGTAATCACCAACAAAAAAATATTACTGAAAAAAAGCGACTAGCAGTTGGCGAGGTTTCCTTATAAGTATACATATCTTTCGTATCTTTCAGAGGACAGTGACTGATAGAAAACTATCACTCTCTCTATTATTTCTTCTACGGCACTTAACGACCGTTTTATTATCATGGAACCCATAAAAGTTCAGAGAAACAGGAAAAACCGCAAAACTTCAACGCAAATGTACTAGAAACAAAATTTTCTAAGAATTTAGACCGATTTATCCGTGTAGAGAAAAGTTGAAGAGAAAAATTACAAATACCCTAGACGAGGTTAAAAACTATGAATCGATCAGCTTTAAAAAACATATACCTATGCCTACTTAACAACCACTAAGCGATCTGTCCGCAACACGTCCCATTTTGAGCTTATTCCATCACATTTTGTTAAAAGCATGGTCTGATACAGAAGAAAGAGGCTGGATATAGTTTACACACTGGCTAACGATGGGTATAATAATAAATAAACCATATGTCAGCAATGACTACCAACAATTAAAAAATGGATAAGGAAAAAGTCAGGAAGAGTGTCAGTTTTACCTGAGAGTGTCAAAATGACACTCTCAAATGATAATCTGAGACCGAGAAAAGCTATTAAAAGATGATTGGAGATAGTCTAGGGTTTTAGTTTTTCCTTCTCATGAGATAGAAGTATAATGCTTGTGTTTTCATTTTAAGATGTAGTATTTCTGTTTGCTCGTTTTGAGAAATTTCAATCTTTGTTCATTGTTTACTGAAGAAGATGAATATTCACTCATCGAAATGTTTAGATATTTATAGTAATAAAATATTTTTACGATTCAAAAAGTATCATTAAGTTAAAAATTACCCGATATAAACCGGATCCACAATGCGGACATTAGGCAAGAAATCGAAGATAAAATATGCTGATATACGTAAAATAAAGAGATTGATGTTAAGACTATCTTATGCTGCAAAAACATTTTCTGGATGCTTGTTTTGAACTAACAAGAAACTTTAATTGCATAAGGTTCTCGTCGTTAAATGTGATTGTCTTTGTTAACCGCCTTCCCATCCTGCTGAAACTTTGGTATATATCTGATTGATCTACACTTTCTAGACTAGATGGCGTTTTCAAGAGCCGATAGTTTTTTAATAACTTTTAACTTTTTTAATTTTGAATCGCCTTTTTTGGCAAAACCAGTAACATATCCAGAATTAGTAAGTTAACCTGCACCGGATGATGTACAAACAAATAATTTTGCTAAAAAATTCCACTCAAAAAGTTTTTCCATAGCTTCTCTCAGTCGATTTTTGCTAAAAAATTCAATTTTTAAAAACTCTTCGGTCTATAAAAACAGACACTTTAAGCGATAGGAACGCACGTTAATATAGGAGAACGCATTTATTATTGAAATAAGTCACGGCATGCTACACAGCTAAGAATGCTCATTGCGCCACCGGTTAGTGGAAAAAAACATATTAGTACAGCGGTTGAACTCGATAGTAGCACACATACTTAATCAGACAGTTAACTGAGCTTAATGGGTGTTTTTTAACTTCTATATATCAGTAAAATATCAAACTTTAGGTACCTTGCTGTTGTGAAAGACGTTGCTATAGCTGTTGTTTCCAACATGAGTGCTTCTACCTCATCAATACTGATGGATTTCTCACCGTAGTAACATTTTAAATTATTCTCAGCTGTAACATGATCATATTTGAAACCAAGATTTTGACACATATCTTCAGCATAATAATATTTCAATATACATGTTAGCGATGATGACCATAAATAGGTAACACGGGCACGATTTGCACTTTTAAAATTCTTAATATTTAATTGCCAAAATGGAGCCGTATTAGCATCATCTATCTTGTAGATATATTGTTCTTGTTGATTATCCAAATTTGTTTGAAATAATGTTATTGGAAAATGGGGATAACGTTGGCTATTTTTCAATAATGCATATTCTTCTGTCAGATATTCTCGAATACCATCAAAGTTACACCAGTATGTTACACGACGAAGATCAATGAAATGAATCTGATCTGTTTCAATACATTTTATTTTTGTTGTATCAAATGAATCATAGACATGAAACTGACTTTCACCAGGACATTTAATCATAGTACGTGCATTTTTAATGGCATATGTAATAGTTTTACCATTGATACCATTGACGGTTAAGAATAAATTGAACCAGAAGAAAAAAAATGAAGTTTTATGAAACATATAGCTGTGATAAATTAGAAAGCCCAATTTTGTTTTAAAAATCAGTGTTTTCACAGTGCATATTTTTTGATACATAATGAAAACAAACTATGGAAATTATATTGTTGATAACATTTTTCTTTCTCTTGCGTATGCATTTTGTTCTCATCTTTTTACTCTTGAATACGTGAGAAAATGTAACGTATCAATATAAATCAGTATTTTCTTAGGTCAAACGTGGAATCTAATGGTAAAAGAAAAAAGGGTCAATACATAAGACAAATGAAGAGAAGTTCTATCTATCAGAAGGTGAACGTGATATATGGACACAAAAAAAAGAAGAACACTAAAATATCTGTTTCTGATTCACACCTGTGTACTTTAGGGGAGAGTAACATAGAAAATACTAACTTTTAAACATATACACATTCCTTCTTTCGCTTCTTCTCTTGTAAGATGCAGAATCTTATTTTTCGTTTTTTTGCCATGGTTGGACAGAGCAAACCACGTTGAGTAGGAAAAAACTTAATTCCCGAATTTTGGAACACATTTTTCAGTTTAAAAAATTTTAAATATCAATTTGTCAAAAATAAGTAAAAATACGCAAAATTTTGAATAAAACTCAAAATTTAATCATTCATTCTATTTAAAATTCCAAAATAATTTTTTTTCTTACTCTCCATCAAAAACTGGGTATGGAAAACAGATTTTGGAAATTTTAAAAATCAAATTGACTTCGAGAACCGCTGAAGACAGAATAGTAAACGCCCCGCTGACCAATCTTGTAAACCAATCTAGTCCTAGGATTTTGAAGATAAAATTTTCTTTCGTACTTCATTCTAAATGATATACTTATGAGAGAAAAATGTATGTATCAGTAATAAAAAATTTTACTTCGTTGTCGAAAAATTCAATTTTTATGAATTCAGTGAAGAATTTGTTGAAATTGAAACTGTCCTTTGCCATTTTGGTTTTCTGAGACCTTGGTTTGTCCGAGACCCCGAGTTTCAGACGTTTTTATAGAATTGTTGTATACAGCACATCAGATCGTGAAAAATTCTTTCAGCTGGTCAAATCTTCCTTCAGATTTGTTCCAGCTACTATGGTCGCCGAGAAAAGTGAAAAATAACGGTGCACGAATAAGTTTTGAACCCGTTATGGGTTTAAGCGGCGAAATATTTCATACACAAAAACCACTACGAAGCTTCGTTAAGTTTCCTATTAGCACATATTGTAGAGTTTTCCAAAGCGCAACGAATGATGTATGAATGATTAGAGATCTCTATTTGTGGAAGAAAGTATAATCATTTTGGTCAGCCACTACGGGTAAAATCGAGATACCTGTCAGGTATGTCTCCAACACATCTATGAAGGCAAACCTTAAAACAATGTGTTATAGCTCATTGTTTAGTACTTTCAATTCTGCATTTTTCTATGTATAAATCATTCCGCATCCGAGTGTGCTGACAAAACTATATCCATTTTACTATATTCAATGAGAGTTACATATATGGGAAGCAAATACTCATAGATAATGTTTGACCAATAACTCTATGAAGTTATTAGTTTGATGGGCTCATATCGTGTTGCTAGATAGAGTTAAGTATCAGGCAATTTTTGATAAAGTTTGGAAGTGGTACTGTATTTCTTTGACCTGCTAGAGAAGTTTTAGTGAAAGGTGTGAAAAGTGAAAATTTGAAATTTTGCTCGAAAAGTATTTTTTTCTCAAACAACAACTATGTTCTTTTAATTCTTTTATCGCCCGTTTTCCATTTTAAGAAAGCCGGTATAAACAATATCTTCACTATACTTCCTTACTGAGTTAAAAAACACTTTTCATCTCATGTTACTAAATGGTCTAACTTTTCGAAAAATTATTTTTTGAGAAAGGATTATAGTTTCAAACCAAAACTTATATATGGTTAGATGCACAATAAAATTCCCTATCGAACCTGCTATTCAGTGTTTTGATACTTTCACATTTTTAAATCTGGCAGGGTCCTTTACGAAGAGTCTCTCTACAGTCGTGATATTATTGTTCCTTCAGCAGAAAAATTGAACTTATTTCAACACTCTTATATTCAGCTCTAAAGGAGGGGACACGCTTTTCCACTGCGTTTTCGGCTTGGTTATGGCCACATATTGTAGAGAAAACGATTTTACACATTTTGAACTGCATATCAACCATTATAACAGTATAGAGACTTTTTAAAACAACTTTTCCGAGGAGGTACATAAAGCATATCGGTGTTTAACAAAAACGATTTTGCTCATAATCTAATATAAAGTTCCGATAAAGCTTGAAATAGAAAAATAGCTCTTGAAAAGCTCTGCAATATCTGTTAATGGCAGAGACGGCGGAACGATTTCAAATGGGGTAAGGCTCAATTTAAGGCATTCCTCTGCGAAATGAATTTTTCCCATATTTTTGGTTATTAATAAAAAGCAGAGGTGTATGTGATAATAGTTTCTAGTAGACGAAATAAAATTTCTTATCCTAAAAGGCCCCTTCTGCGCTCCTTGCTTCAAAAAAAGGTGAGAATTTAAGGTCCACCCACCACCCAAAAATCCATTCCTGCTTACGAGTATCCGATCTCAATGAAACTTTCAGAGATGGTGTATCTAGGTATGATGACCTAACAAATTCCAGCTCGAAATATTAAACCTATCAAGAGCTAGCTCACAATTAAGGTCCAAAAATGGGTCTTCGTCCATCCCAGATTTCTCTGCCATTTTTAACGTTAGAGAGCTCGGGTTGGTTTTAAAATGTAGCTAAGATGTAGGGCTACAACTTAACAGAAACCGATTTTTTAATTTCTCTGTAGTTCATTTTTTACAGAACTTTTACGTCACGTTTTCAGAAAAACCTGTGTAAAGCCCTTAAAACCTATCGTAAAATTAAGAAACTATAGTGCTGCATTCGATAGCGGACGTGATGCTCTATCAAATACGCTATTTTAAAAAAAATCGATAAATTTCACCAAAATAACCTTTTTCTAAGTGAGGGGTGGGCCTTAAGTACTTGTACCCCTTAAACTACTTGATAAGTGTCTTTTTTGCCTGAAAAAACTTCGGGCACTCTGGACATTACGTATCCAAGCACTTGTCTAAGTATTTGGTCTCAAGCACATTCACTAAGGCAGTGCTTACAAGCAAAAACAATTCCTTTACTTTAGATAGAGCAAAACAAGGGTCGTTTCTCTATATACAAGTGCATAAAGAAACATACCATTTTTCTTATGTCTTGTAAAAAAAAAGCCATTTTCTCTATTATGTTTGACATCAAAAGCGACTCTCACAGTCGTGACTATTATTCTCAGTTCATGATAGGACAAAATACTTTACACGAAGAAAAGTGTGAACAAAAGTTAAACTGACTTTGCTCTTTTTGTTAGGTCGAACGTTACTCGCTTTTTCTCAGTAAACATCCGTCTACATTCATGACTTTGTCTGAATACGACTTATGTACTACAGTCTTACCAGATGACTAAGCCAAAATTATCATCTTCATCATGTTGACAACGTTCGCGAGAAAAAGTTCGCGATTTTCTCTCTCATTTTATTGTGTGACATAAATAGACTTGCAGCCTCGTGTAACGTCAATGTGTATCAGTGTACGTGTATTCTGAGAGCGCAAGCTGTGTTCAGTTTTGTTATACAGGTTTATTTTATACAATATATGGATCCAAGAACAGAGTTAGTCAAGAGCAACCAAGTAAAGTATTCCGAGAGTCAGTTACATTCACGATTCCAACTGGGACGTAACAGTCGACGGTCGCCTTCTATACAAAACAAATAACCTGTTGCTCTATTAATTATGCCAGTGCTACGTATGACTGTCCAGAGTGCGCAAGGTCTTTCAAGCCACAGGGCATCACCAGACATGTTAGGTCATGCGCGAAGAAGTGGTGCAAGGATAATGGTTTTTAAAGGAATGCGACAATTATCAAACTGACGAGAAAGCTGGTCTATGATACTTCAAGATTATGACGAATGTCACTGAAAACGAGCTCAGTAGCTCGGAGGTGGTAATCTGACCTTGTCTTTTAGTGTTATGTGACCTACGGCAGACGAACTTTGATCAACCACCGAATTGAACATTTTTGTACTGTCTTGGTAGACTCAAAATTTTGTTTTTAAATCATAACCCTGTTTTTGTGATCTTCACCATACACCTACTTGGGTATTGGTATCTTTAACTAACTAACTAACTATTAATTACGCTGCAATTCACTTTCTCTCTTTCTTTATTGTCGACAGAAAGATGACGATCTGCACACTACTACGGAAAATAATCAGAATGACCAAAACACAGCAAAGCAGATAAAAAATCTATGCTTTAGAAACAGGAGTCAAAGAAATAAAGACAAAATCTGCATGTGTCATCTAAAAAAAGAAGAACATAAAATAGACTCGACTGTAACATGACTGCTATCTCTACAAGAGAGTGACATCTGGCAGGTATAGGACATACAGTATTGCTGCTCGCGTTCAGTTAAATTACGATCAGTTAGAGAAGCTTTACCACCCTTTTATGGTTAAAGGATCACACATTGAGAAAAAGCCATTTCGTTTGCTATCAATTGCGTTTCACTTTTTCAAAACAGTATACAACTGAAATTCAATTTCAGCTATATATTAGAGCTGTATCAAATATTATTTGAAAAGCAAAGAAGATACCTCTTAAAGAGATATCTTCTTTGCTTTTCTATCCTGCCATGTGCAGGATAGAAAAGCACAACAACAACTCACATTTTTCTTTCATTTCTGACACAACAAAAAACAAAACACAACGAAAAGCATTCGTTCTCTTGTGTGTCTCTGTAAGTAAATAACTAAAAGTACAACGTCATTAAAAGTGAAGTGATCATAATGTATAGTTATAAACTATATGTCAAAAACTGATTCGAACAAGAAACAGGAGGAACAGTTTTGCAGTCTCCAACTAGTGTCTGATGGAACAAAATAACTTTGAAAATCCCCAGGACGATGATTACTACAGCGGTAAATGCCAGTATACTACAGTTTATGATGATGGATACTGTAGTATACGTCAAAATACGAGCTGTTTACGACGAAATACGATGACGTCTGCC